CGGCCGCCACCGCCTCGCCGCGGTACCCGCGGGCAAGCAGCGGGCGCAGCAGCCCCAGGCAGCGGCCCAGGAGGCGCGGGGCGCCCAGCAGCATGGCGGGGCTGGGCAGGGCCGAGCCGAGCAAGCCGAGCCGAAGCAGCCGAGGCGAGGCAGCCGTCCCAGGCCGCCGCCACTCCCCCCGGCGCAGCCAATGGGCACAGCGGGGCCGGGCCCGGGCCCCCGGACAAGCTAATGCTGTAGAACGCCCTTTGGAAGAATTGTGTTGGGACGCCCACACGTGAAAACTGTGTTTTCACGCACAGCCTAGGAAAGCCCTTGCCCTTCTTAGAAACTTGTCATACAGTAACAGGGACAGATCTTTTTAAAATCCAAACCATCTTTGGCCGAGTTTCTCCCTTCCATGAAAACTTTGCTATTCTTCAGTATTCCAGTTTTAGTTTAAGTCAAGGCTATTATCTTTAGAGAAAGGTAACACTGGGGAGTCTGATACCAAGTAAATTAGGCTCTATTCTAAAACAAAACCAGGGAACAACGAGAACACCCCTGCTAAACCACGCTCAGCCTGTTACCAGCAGGTCTGTGTGCACCCTGTGGTACAGCCCAAACTTCAGCTTTTCCTTTAGTTCACACTTATTAGCTTCGTGGACTTCCAAGTATTTTAAAACTGCATCTGATACTTAAAGAAACAGAAACACATGTAAAAGAAAATAATTTATTCACATAATTTACATACAGAACAGTACTACTTCCTTTGACACAGAAAGCTTATATGTGATGATACAGGGTGTCAGACAACTCTACGCAAAGCAGTTTTATGCCACATCTTTGTAAAAATGCTACTCATATGTATTGAGATTTCAACTATATTTTCTTACATCCTTCATCATTATAAAACTTCCATACACAAAACAGAACACAAAATTCTCTTATTTCTTTCAAATTAAATTTGTTCTTTAAAAAAAATTCCTCTAACAAAGTGCATGTTATTTGCTGCAAGGAAAAACAAAGCATAGCCCCAATTAACAATGCAGATAAGGCACCATAAATATTAGTAATGATGTAGTTGATTTTTTTCCCCCTTGTAACATGAATGCAAGCTAAAATGTATGCAACCAAATGTAGAATGATTATCCCCTCAGAACTCACTCAGAAGGTACTCACAGCAATTGTTTCATAGCCACTCCCCAAGAATCTATTTTTAGGCTCTATGAGTGCAATTGATATAAACATGCCAGACATATCAGGAAGCAAACACTTGCATACTTAATATCTACAAGATATACAATACATAGAGTTACATGTATACATTAATCTCTTTCATAATGTTTACAGTAAAACAATAGATAAACATTTCAAGTTAAACGGATTAGGCAAAGCACAATATCCCATCTGAACAGAAACTGTTGTTGGTATTTTTGAGGTTTTTTTGGGGGGGAGTGAGGTGGGTTGATCAGATACTTTCAAGTAAGTTACTCTACACTGGGACCACTAGTCCCTTTTCCATCGTCTCAAGGAATACTGCTGCTAGTGACATTTCACTGGCAGAGCCAATATACCAATTTGCAGTAACAGTAGCTTTTTTCTGTATTTCTCTTCTCTGACAAAAGTTTAAAGGTTCCTTCAGAAGCCTTGCCAATAACTTCTGAAAAGAAAAACATTCTCAAATGTTTTGTCAAACTTCATCAACTATATAAAAATTAACTACATATTTATATTATTTACCTGCCATCAAAATGTTTGTCCAACTTCATCAACTATTTCAAAATTAACTACATATTTATATTATTTTCCTGCCAGTAAAGGATTACCTAGACCAAACGTGATGATAGGTTTCTTGAGAGCATTATCAATACTATTTAAACATCAGTTTCACCTTCATAATAAATTGCTTTGCAAAAGTACCTGTAAGTATTAAGTAATGGAAAAAATTTTAAGACTACTCAAGCTCCTGCAAGCAGGAGTTTCAGACTAAATATTGACTCTTTCAGCGACCACCTGACTTTGAGTGCATAAACCTAATTACCTCACCCCGATATATTTCTTGATGAGGTAAATAAAAACTTAAACTAAAATCTAAAGCTGAACCAGGATTTTATGGCAAGTTACAGTACAAGCAGACATGCACATAAGAAAACCCTTTTAATTCAAGTGCTTCAAAGCAGCAAATCCTCAAAAGTGACATTTTATAATCATGGTTTAAATCCAATCTCTTTGTGCTACTGTGCACAAGGGAAAACGAGGAAGTCAGTAAATATACAAACAACAACACGTGAAAAGAAGGAAAAGAAATTGTATCTATAGCTTTGTTTTTCAATTGAGAAGAAAATTAGCATTTATACTAGGAAACATCAATCTCCTCGTCCAAGTGATAAAAAAGGTTGTAAACATTAACCTTGTGTTATCTATCATCTTCTAGTAAATTGTGTTTTTAAATTTTCAACAAATTTTTAAGGAACCAATGCTACTGGGTTTTTCAGGTTACGATCTTTTAAATTATGTGGTTAAAAAACTCTTACAAAAATATGTAATTTGGAAATTTAAATTTTAAATAAAAACACCTGCAGTGCTTGATATATATACGTATGTATTTACTACACCACTTCCAGTATTTGCATTCTGATCTTCAGATATTACATTATACCCAAAAAGTTCATTCCTCCTTCTAACGTAACATACTTCACAAAAAGAAGTAAAGAACTTGAATAGTCAGTACCGAGAAGCTTTAGCATTAAAATGGAAAAGGATACTTTTTGAAAGATTAAACATTATTTCATTGTACTTTTCTGTAGGATAGTCATGCACTCACTATCAGTGTCTAAACAAGGGAAACCATAAGCCGGCAGTCAGCAAATAGTCTGGTCCTATGACATCATTGTAGTGGTTTAGACTATGTCAGCATTTTGAAAGTTCCTGGGTGGCTTCAGAAAGAATCCATTTCATCTTCACAGCATTAATTAACAACATGTCCTAGGGTGACTATGATGTTCACATCCCCAACTGTCTGTTCTGTTTATGCTGGACATTAAGTTCTGCACCAGGGGAAGAGAAGAAGTGCAGAGATTGTTATCAGAAGATGCACTTGCTCCTCCGCATTCTCTCTCACAGACTGCGTTCTCTGCAGAACAGACAGACGGCAGGAGACAGCTCTCCTTTGCTTTTAGTTAGTTTTTAGCTAGCTGAGGCAGAGAAGTTCCCTGGACTGTGGCTTTTCTTTTTTTGGGAACTGGTCAGCCTTGCTCTGGACTGAAAACCCAGAAAAACACAAGCACCTCACACCTGTGGCCCACTGGAACCCAGGATGCGGCATTTTCCAGCACAGGAGGAACTGGTAACAGAGCAAGTGAGCTGAGCTACGCCCCAAGGAAAGGACTTTCTGAATGTGCCATCTATTCAGAACAGCAAGAGGTTTTATTGTTTAGTATTGTTAATTTTTTACGCCTGTGAATACTTTGTTAAATAAACAGGTTTTTTCCACTTTTCTCCAAGGAAATCTTTGCAAACCAGCTGGGGGAGGGGCCACTTGAATTTGCTTTCTAGAGGGACCCCTTTGAAAGCTTCCTTCCAAATGTGCCCTAAACCAGGACAAATACTTTTTTTTGTTGCCCAACATGTGGCTCAAGAAAATTAAAAAAACCTGTACTGATTGCATTCTGGTTCTACTTACTCCGTATTGAGATAAAGCAGTCAGTAGCCATGTTGCTTGAATTCATAATGTCTCTCTGGGTGGAGGCCTTTACCTGTCTCTGGTCCCTAGGTTGTTTTGAGGTTTTAATACCCTTCTGGTCCCTAGGCTTATTTTCTTATTTGGAGACAGATCCAGTATCGTCCTAACATGTAGCTTTTTACAGTAGAGGGGCAGGGATTTGGGTTGTTATTGTGCTGGGCTCTGTGACAATGGTTTATAGGGAGTTTAGATAGGTACTGGAGCTTGTTAAAGGTATGTTTGGTTCATGGCTTCTTTGTCCGACCCTGCATCCCAGTTCCAATAGCATGTTTCAGGAGTTTATTAGTAATTGCACCCAGGTTGTTAAAGGAGGAGCGGGAGATGAGGCTTTTCAGCCTTTCCTTTCCATCTTCTCCTTTGAATCCGTTACATCGCTTTTGGAGAACGTTCAGTTTCCCCTGAATGTTAAAGAGATCACTTTCCTAGTATTTTATCTGGTACTGTTATTACTGGCTGACATTAAGTGTGGCATAATGAATATCAGAACAAATTGCAACTTTTAAAATACTCTTTTCTTGTTGCAGTATATTCTGTGATCCTAGGTTTTTATAAAACCCATTTGCTATTCTGAATCATCCACTTCCATAAAGATGTCACTGAAAAAGTACTCAGAGATTTTGGTTGGCTCTCCTTCCTTCTCTTGATCTTTAGCACAGAGAGTTGGCTTCTCAGATGAGTTGTTACTTGGAACCTGATAAAACAAGAAAAAGTTTCTCTTAACAGTGCTCTTCATCAGTGTGTATGTGTAAATATATTTACACATATATGCATGTGAGCTATTTGTAAGGGTATTTTATTTATGTAGGAAGTTTTGACCAAAGAAAAAAAAAATCAGAGTTTACTGAAAATGAGAAATAAATAGATATTCATGCACAGAAAAATCAACTTAGTTCCCTTACAAGTTGCACAAGTCAAATTTGTCAACTGGAACAGATACTAGACTCAAAACATGAATGCTACACACCCATCTACTCACTCCTGAAACTAATTCTCTGTTCTTCACACCTCAGAAAAGCACAGTTGTTCAAAAGTAAACTCATACCATAACTGCAGCATCAGCAGCCACATGTTCATGTTCCACAGATGATGAAGTAGAGGGAAAGGAACAAGATTCCCTCTCACCCTCAGTGGAGGGAGTGGGTTTCTTTAGACTTCGTTTTGCAGTCACAATTCGTGGCTTCTGGATCTTCCCTCTATTCCCTTTGGCGTCTTCTGCAGAGTCAGAATTACTTTTTTTGCAAATTAAAGATAAAAATCCCAATGGTTTTCGTCCACCCCTGTTCAAAACAAATATAGTCAGGATGTCATAGGATTGCTCCATAAGAGGAAGATATAAATAGCATTGCAGGAGTCCAATTCTATACACCGGA